GTATTTTGTATTTATATTTCAATTTGAATACTAAATTTCCATCAAAAACTATTTTAGTGTTTTTAGATTTCACAAAATTCACATTTGAAAAAGTAGATTGATATATCTAAATTGTTCTAAATATATTTAAAAGTTTTCCAATATATAGACTGAGTGTAAAATTTTAAATTATATCTAAATTAATTAAATTGAAAGGAAATGAAAATTCAGCTGCTTACTCAAGTACACATAAGCCACATGTGACTAGCGACCACCAAGTGTGTACTGAGCTTGTACCTTACTGTCTGTCACTACCTATTTTGTATTTTCATTTAATCTTTTTCTCACTTAAACTTGAACCTTTTAGATTTTATCTGTTTCCCTGGTTATGTATAATATTCTAGCAGTCTGACTCTGAGCCAGTGCCACAATGATCACTGCAGGTTGACAAAATGTTCACCGTCTGGGAGGGACACTAGACTGTCTCACCCTCACCCAAAGAAAGGGTCATTCTTTTTCTTTTTTGAGACAGACCCTCAAGCTGTCGCCCTGGGTAGAGCGCCATGGCATCACAGCTCTCAGCAACCTCCCACCCCTGGGTTCAAGCAATTCTATTGCCTCAGCCTCCCAAGTAGCTAGGACTATAGGCACCTGCCACAACACCTGGCCATTTTTTGGTTGTAGCTGTCGTTGTTTGGCAGGCCCAGGCTGGATTCGAACCCTCCAGCTCTGGTGTATGTGGCTGGTGCCTTAGCTGCTTAAGCTACAGGTGCCAAGCCGAAAGCATCATTTTTCTTGGTAATTCTTTCTTGATCTAAACAGGCTGCAATTTTGAACAATTTTATTTATTAATGGAACTCAAAAATGTGAATTTTTTGGGGGGGTGATATATAGAAATAATTTATTTTTTCCTTAGCAATACTGAGTGTATTTATTAAATTCTTAAATTTTTTTATTGATATGCAATAGCTGTGCATTATTTGGGGGATGTATAAGACATTGATACCTGTATATATATGCAACAATCAAATAAGAGTAACTGAGCTATTCCTGACTTCAATTATCTTTTCTTTGTTTATTTCCCTCCCAGACTGGACAGACACAACTGGGTGCTTCTTGGTAGAGAGGTCATCATCCAGAAGATAATTAAAGACTAGATGGGAAGCTGGATCTATCACACGCTGGAGAACAAAATGTGTTAGCAACTGAAGTAAAAAAAAAAAAATACAAGTGAATTTTATACTGAAAGGGAGAGTTAGGAAGTTGTTTATAACAGTCTTTCTCAACTTAATCAGCTCACAGGAGGCAAAAGTTGGTGGATCTTGACAGGAGGCCATCTGCTCCCCAGCATCACTCAGGAAAGGAATTCTTCTTTCATGGTACAAAGGAAAGGAGGCCACCTGATGGCTTCCTATAGGAAATACAATTGCATGGTTTTCATGCCAGCATCTGCCCTTACTGATAAGAACTGCAAGAGATACATGTCTCCGAAAAAATGCAGAACTGACTTTTTATATTGCCCTTGTGGCTAGCAACTTTGCTAAATTGACTTACCAATTCCAATTCTTAATCTGTAGATTCTTTTAAATTGCTATGAATACAATACATGTCACGAGTAATGATGATTTTGTTTTTTCCTTTCTAATCTTTATGTAGTTTATTTTTCTTGTGTTGCTGTATTGGCTAAAACCTCTATCACAAAGCTGAATAGAAGTGAGAGTGGGCGTCTTTGTTTTGTTCCCAAACGCAAACTTCTAATATTTTACCATTAGGAATATGGTTTGCTGTTGACCTTATATGTAATTCCTTTATCAGATTTAAAGAAGTCTCTTTATATTCCTAGTTTTCTAAGAGTTTTTAAAAAATAGTTTTATCAAATGCTTTTTCCCTCCATTAATATGATCATATCATTCTCCTCCTTTATGCAACTGATGTGAATTACACCGATTGCTTTTCTGATGCTAAATAAATCCTGCAGTTCCTGAAATAAACCCAACTGTGTCAAGATATATAGTAACTTTTTAGTATTACTGACAGATTTTGCTTCCTCATTCATGAGTGAGTCTGGTTATAACTTCCTTTCTCATAATATTCTTCTCAGGTTGTCCTAGGTTCATAAAAGGAACTGAATATTCCTTATTTTTCTGTTCTCTAGATTTGGTTAATATTGATTATGTTTCTTTTTAAAAGGTTATGTTACTAATCAAGCCACCTGGGCCTAGGGTTTTCACTGTGAGAAAACTTAAAATATTATCCTGTTTTTTAAATGGATATATTCAGGTTTCCCTTTTTTTTCTGTCCCAGTTTTGGTAAGTTGTGTATAGTCAATTTTTTAATAGTTGCTTCCATCTGTTCCATTTTGAAATTCACTCACGTAAAGTTGTTTATAAAGCACTCTTTTAGAGGGGAAAAGAAGTCTGTAGAATTTGGAGTAATGCCTCCCATTTTATTTCTGACATTGGTTATTTATACCTTCCCTCCTCTTTCTTGGTTAATTTTGCCAGGAGTTTGTTGTTGTTATTATTCTCTTCAAAGATCCAATTTGTGGGTCTTAAATTCCTCTCTACATATTTCTTCCCCTACATCATTAATTTTTGTTCTTATATTCCTTACTTCCTTCTACTTCTTTAGATTTAGTTACCAGTTATTCTTCTGATTTATTGAGTTTTTTTTTCTAGCATATGCTTTTAAAGCAGTGATTCGCATCCTTAATTGCACATTGGAATCATGTGGGAAGTTTTCAGATGCCAGAGTCCCAACCCTGGAGATTCTAATTGGGATGTGGCTTGGACATCAAAAGCTCCCCTAGGTGATTCTAGGGTTAAGGTTGAGAACCACAGATTCAAAGCTATACTTTCTAATTACAACTTTAACAGCTTCTCACAAGTTCTTAATATTTTCTTCATCAATCAGTTCAAGTTGTTTTAAAGTTTTATTGTGACTTAATTCATTAAAAAATTTTAAAACATGGCAGGTGCCTATAGTCCCAGCTACTTGGGAGACTGAGACAAAAGAATCGCTTATGGCTAAGAGTCTGAGGTTGCTGTGAGTTATGATGCCACAACACTCTACTAAAGGTGATGAAGTGAGATTCTGTCTCAAAAAAAACCTTTTTTTTTTTTAAACGTGCAGTTGCAATGTATGTTGTGAGAAGTCAGGTAAATGGCACCTTTGGGGAACAGGTGATGGGCTGTGAATGAGGAGCTTTTGGAGATTAATAATATAATATTTCTTTTTCTATCTAGGTAGCGGTTACATATAAGCATGTTCAATTTGGGATAATTCATAGAGCTACACACTTAATAGGATGTATGAATATTTCTGTAATTTTATATTATATTTCAATACAACTTTTTTGTTGTCTTTTTTTCAATGTAATTTTTTAAAGATAGAAAACATCTTGTATAAGGAGTGGGAATTATAATAGGATTAGCCTTCTAAACCAATAGTTCTCAACCTTCCTAATGCCATGACCCTTCAATACAGTTCCTCATGTTGTGGTGATCCCCAACCATAAAATGATTTTCATTGCTACTTCATAACTGTAATTTTGCTATTGTAATGAATCGTAATGTAAAATATCTGATATGCAGGATGGTCTTAGGTGACCCCTGTGAAAGGGTCGTTTGATCCCCAAAGGGGTTGTGACCCACAGGTTGAGAACTGCTGTTCTAAACATTATAGTAGATGTTAGAAGAAATAGCACAATGAATGCCATCCTAAATTCCAAGAGAAAAGGATTTCAAACCTAGAATTCCATATTCATACTTTCAATTAAATTGTGAGGGAGCTTACAGAAAAGTTACCCCTTAGACAGCTTTTCTCATAAACTTCCCGAAGAACGTCCTGTAAAAAGAGGGAATATAGAGGAAAACGAAGACATGGGATCTGGGAAACAGACTTCACTATGGGAGGAAGGCAAAGGACATTCTGAAGATGACAGTTGTGCAGCAGGCCTCAAGAACAAATACTGCACTCGGGAGCAGGAGCTGAAGGGCTCCGGGCACACATCTCCAAGAGCAATTAAAACCAAGAGAGTACCTGCTTGTGTTTAACCAAACTGAGAGATTTTTTAGTTCTGTCAGAATGTAGTGATAAATCACGGGTAGGTACACAGAAAAATCAAAGTTAAAAACCAAAGCGTGGGGAAATATTTCATGTAGTATAAGCAAAGAATGATCCCTCCATACCCAAAATGAGAAAGTATAAATATAATTAATTCACCTGTGAACAGGAGTCTTATGCGCATACATTGGAATTGCTGACTTAGCTAAGCATGGTGATGGAACTGTATTAAATGCAGGGGAGGAAGGGGCTGTGGTATGCTTTTGTCGGGTGTGGCAGTATAAGGCCCCATATCCTCATCTCCTACAAACAACTTCAAAGTTAACTGAACTGAAAAACCAAGAATTAGCATAAGCATAAAGAAGTAAAAAACAACTAAAACAATTAAATTGGGAAGGAGTGAGGGTGGGAAGGTATGGCGGGCTGTTGCTGTTTTCTGTTACAAAGACTGTAGCACTTTTTGTCTTTTTCAATTACTTGAATGTAGTATTTTTATAAAAATAAAATTAAACTATGAAAAAAACCTATGCAAATAAAAGAGAAAATCCCAGAGGATTGAAAAAAAAATCACTTTTATCTTTAAAACTCTGGATAATCAGTGGAATCAGCTCTTGAACAAGAGTAAGCATATATGTAGATCACATCAGTAACCACTATTAATTAAATGTTGCTTTAGTCCAAAATTCTTTCCATATGAAGAGCCAAATTATCTACAACTTAATACACAATCCATGCAAAGCCACCCCCCTCCATAGCCAGAACAAACCAAATGTTTTCATTTTATCAGGTTAGACTAAACTTACATTACTGTAACTGACAAGTAACTTTTCAGGAAGATATATAAAGTAAATTTGATCTGTGTGGAAACGGGGTTATTCTTTTATGAGCTGATACTCCACTAATGGAGTAACTGCCTGTTTCACAAGAACAGATATAGTTTATATAAGTGGAATTACCTGAAGAAAGTCACGAAGAACTGTACCAGGTCCATAAAATTGCTGTGTTGGGAAAAGGCAATCTGTGATGGAAAAACAGGTATTGTGATTACAAACAGCATCACCGACTCAGCCTTCTCATTTCAAGAGCTAACCTGAAAGACTTCACACTTTACAGGAGAAATTTACGAAACTTTTTTCACTTAAGGGAAAATGTCTTCGCCCCTTTAGGGTTTTTTCCTTGTTCCGTTGCCAGCCCCAAAGTCATATTCTGAGGATTGGGCACGACCTCCTGCCTCCCCTCTGAAGCTCTCTCAGTCTGACCCTAAAGGCCCACCACACTCATATTAAAGCATGGATGGCAGGTGAGTTATCTGCCTGCTCCCTCCCTATGCCTTCACCCAGGCACAGTGCTTCAAATACTAAACCAATTCTTAGATCTACCCCAAGATGTGCAGCCTCACCTGTGCCTTTCAGTCCTTCAACAGGAGTGTGCTTAGTGTGCACTCACTTCAATGTTACCTCTGTAAAAACATTTGTGGCTCAAGTTTTGCTACACTGAATACCATCTGATAATGTATCATCAGTTGGCACTAAAATAACTTTATTATACAGCTAACAGTCTTTATGACAAGAATATTTTAAAAATCCCTGAAGTATTTCATCAACTCTAGACACCATTCTCTAAAAGGGCTGTTCTTTTGCGTACTATTCAGAAAAAACACTGCCAATTAAACTATGATGTAATGCTTTTTAAAGTCATTGACTGTAAGATGCATCATGATTTCAGAGATACTAGAATATGAAAAAAATGTATCTCAGAGTTGATTAAATATGATAATTGTGTCCTTAATATTACTCACAATATACGCAGTACTAGCCAGATAGTTTATTTTTTATTCCCTACTTTTCTTCTTTAAAGAACTTGGCCCTCTTTGGAGAAAGAATGGTACAAAAAATGAAACAATTAATGAATAAACTGATAATTGTCCTATTAAGGTGATAATTTAAGTGTGACAAAAATAAGGACAATAAATGATTAGCATCTTATTTCCTAATCCCACCTAACCCCAACCCCCTGCACTCTGTAAAGCCCAGACTCAAAAAATGAAGAGAGACTCTCACTATTTGCTTTTTTGATGGCCTTTCTTTTTTGATATTCAGGCCATACAATATTGTAAACCATGGAATTTGAAATTTTTGTGTCTTCTCCTTAACCACTATTTACAATCAGAAACAGAAAGTTACAGATATTCATATAATAAAGAGAAATCCACTTTCTCTTCTTTTCCTTCATTTATTATAACAACTGGATCCAGCTCCATGAGAGAAGGAAAGATGTAGAATATGAGCCATGGTCCTCACTTAAAAGTCTTAATGTAAGGTTGGAGGACAATTATAGAAACAAGGTTATTCAATCTTAGGGAATGCAGATTCCATGTTACAACACATAAAGGAGAAGGAAGCAGATTAGAGTTCATCCTAGCTTTGTTTAGATTTTAATCTTTTAAAACATTAGTGTTTATACTTGAAGAAATCCAGGAGATACTTTTACTCACTGCTGGATACCCAAAAGCTCCAGCTGCTAATGGTACCTTCTGAAGACCTATATAATGTCCATGTGCCCTGTGCCATGCAATGTTCCTCAGGGCAGCTTCCCCTTGTGCTGGCAACCTCTAGCCTGATTCCTTTCCTTTCCCTCCCTCCCTCCTTTTTCTTTCTCGCTCTCTTTTTTTTTTTTGAGACAGAGTCTCACTTTCTTGCCCTGGTAAGTGTTGTGGTGTCATACGTCACAGGAACTTCAAACTCTTGGGCTTAAGAGATCCTCTTGCCTCAGCCTCCCAAGTAGCTGGGACTACAAGTGCCCATTATAATGCCCAGCTACTTTTTTAGAGATGAGGTCTTGCTCTTGCTCAGGCTGGTCTCAAACTCCTGAGCACAAGCAATCCACCCGCCTTGGCCTCCCAGAATGCTAGATTACAGGCGTGAGCCACCATACGTGGCCCCATTAGCCTGATTTCTTGCTGAAGCAGGTATGATTTCTTTATAATATGCTAACATCTAATTTAAAATCATGAGGAACCTCCTATAAACTGGCCTCCAGGGCTGATGATATCCAAGACTCTTTTGATGAATCTTTATCATCTAAGTCACTACAATTATAACACTAAGGAAGCAAAAGTCATAACCTGCTTATGATCACATTGATCACTTAGAAACATCTAGTCCTGCTTAACACCCCACTAATTCTGTCAGTCTTTGGTAAGTGATGAACTTACTATGCAAACTGAGCACTTCTGAGAGTGAAAGAAAGTGATATCAAAAACTACCCAGGGTAAGAAGCATAAATTGGATAATAAGCATAAATTGGGCTGTCTTAACTCATGTTAAACAATGAAAACCAACTGTAAAATTAATCTTGCAGAAGACAAGATTTTTAGTGAAACTGCAGTTAAAGAACTGATCACACAAACCATTGGCAAAGGAAGACTTGGAAGATAGCCCTCTAGTTATCAACTGAAGAAGGCGTAAAAGGACGAAGTGCTTCGTAATACTCTGAACAGGATTAAGAGAAGACCTTAGGAAAACTAAGAAGGCTCTGGACTACTGCTTTTTAAATCCTGCTGTGAAGTCAAGTCTGAAGTAAAGGACTCTGTGCAGGACACAGCACATCCCTGGGCACCATATGTACAACCAAAGGCACATCCTGCCCCTTACCGACCTCTATTTAATTCAAATTAATTCATGGCCTTTATCTGCACATTTATTTATGGATAATAAGATCTCTAAGGACTGAGGACAGGGATTTTACCCTACCATATTAATCACTGTATCTCCATGATCTAAAACAGTGAGCAACATGTAATAGGGGCTTAATAAAAATTTGCTGAATAAACGAATATAATTGGAATGACCTCTCTTTCTCCCAGAACTCAGTAAGACTGAGTGATTTTTCTTTCTTAAGAACTGGAAGATGGGTTGCATCCATAATTTAAATTTGTTAAGTATAAAATTAAAATAAATATTTCTCATACTTCTGGATGAGATATTATTTTTGAGATAATATACCAACCAAATCTTTCTTTCAAGATTTATTATGAAAATATTGACATGGATCTGGGGGCTTTCCAGATACTAAAGATAAGGACTTCTTACAATGAAATATGTTTTAATGAAAAAAGAAAATCTAATTACAACTTATAAATAAAACTTGCAATGTCAGTCCTTTCCCTTTCCAAAGGGTAGGTACCACTTCCACACTCCAGAAATTTAAAATTTATGTCCCTGTACATTTCTACAACCTGATTCCAACTCAACTTTCATCACTATGTTGATTAAAGTATATTTGCCCTCAGGATGTGTTCATAAATTCTGAGAAACTCCAAACTCATGGTTTTGGGGTAGGATATGGTGGACCTGCACTTCCCCAAGCACTAATTTTGCGCATCAGCCAAGCAAGTGTTTTTGGTGACTATACTACTAAACTGGATACCAGTCATCGGAGAGCCTCCCTGTCTGTCTGCACTGGGGTCCTCTGTGTCCTTCATAGCTCAACACAACCACTGCCCCCTCATTCAGCGGCCTTGTTGCCCTCAAAAACTGGCTCCCTCTCCTCTATGCTCTTACAGCACTAATCTGCTTCCCTTTCAGGGCACATGATAATCACTTTCCACACTACACTATGGCTATGTACACAGAGATGTCTTAAAGCACAGGATTCTTGTAATCTTCTGTCATGAATATACCGATTTCTGGCTTTTTAGTTATTGTGGGAGAACGAATGAAAATGTAATTTTTGACCTCTCACACAAGAACAAACACAAGAATTCTCTGCATTCTGAGTATATACAGGCCTTGATTCCAAAACTGTGGAGATCCTACACAGCATCAGCACCCCAAACCTAAACCTACCTCTGGATCTTTAAGCTCACCAGGTGATTCTGATGCTAGTGCTCACAGGATGCACTTAAGGAAACTCCGAAATTGGGAATTATAAAAAAAATCTCCTCTGCTCCTTCCCAGGAAAAATTTCTTCAGCATTTTAGGAACTGCACTAAAACAATCTTTACCTCTATTTGTACAGTTAAACCCCAAATGAAATTAACTTGTACTGAGAAAGAGAGGGAATGGAGAGAGTATTTCACACTATGAAGGTGCCTGGAAACATGGGCTATCTGCACGGTTGGCCTAGGGAGGCTCTGGAGCCTCTGCGATCATTCTGTCTCCACACCTACCACATATGAGAATGAGGACGGCTACCCTCAACAGAGGGAGGGGCCAAAGCACTGGGAGCAGCAGTCAGTGAATGAAGATGAGGCTAGAGGGCCTTCCCCAAATCTGTGAAGCCTGAGGATTCCATATGTCCCTGAGAGAAGGGAACGGGTGTCTGTGAAAACAGGTTGGAAATGAGTTTCTCATCAAGCATCGTAGGTAGAGCCTGAGCCCAAGTTTACTACAAAAATAAGAAAATATGGTATTTCTTATACTCAACTACCACACAAATGCTTTCTTTTTAAAAAAAATTAGTATTTTTACATCTACTACGTGCCATCCATAAACTAGGTACTCAAAAGCCTGAACAAATGAATAGATACTGAATGACTAGAGAAAAACCATTGTTCAATATAGAAGCCTTGAAAAGACAGAAGAAAGGATCTCTAATTTGCCTTTATCTTCTCTGGCAAGAACTTTGTTGCTGCAAGCACAGGGAGAGGATGGGACGGACAACTGACCATCCTGTGAGGTGAAGCCTTCTAGCTTCAAGGCAGCACCTGTTAGGCTCTAAGAAAACACAAGGTATGTGCACCTGGCAGAATCTTATAGGGGATCCCATGGCCTCTAAAGGCCAGTACCTCCATTAAGACTCGGAGCCCAGGCTCAGCGCCCGTAACATAGTGATTATGGTGCCGGCCACATACATTGAAGCTGGCAGGTTCGAACCTGCCCCGGGCCACCTAAAAACAACAATGACAAATGCAACAAAAAATAGCCTGGCCTTGTGGTGGATGCCTGTAATCCCAGCTACTTGGGAGGCTGAGGCAAGAGAATCACGTAAGCCCAAGAGTTTGAGGTTGCTGTGAGC